CGAGGGTGTTCGACGGCGATTCCATTGTTCCGACGAGTTGCACCACCCACCACCACCCTTAACCAACTCCCCTTGAGCCCAGGAGCAAACCCCAAACAACCTTGGAGGCGGCGGAGCATCGGAGAAGGAGAATCAAACACACCCATTTCTAGGGTTTCCGATGGGTACGACCCAATTTAGGGCATTTCCTAGCCAAATTGGACTTAGCCGCATGTATAAAACTTGCTCTACTCGTTCAAATCTTCATTCCTGTAAAATTTGAGAATTTTTTTAATTGTTCGATTTTCTGGCGAGTCGAGGCGGCGACACGTAGCCAGTGGGCCGACGCTGCATTTTTGAGTTAAATTTGATGTTCTAATGTCATTTTGATAACCGTTTGCTATAGTTCGATAGTTTAAACCTAGTGTGGAATACTACGCCACTTGACGATTTTATGATTCAATGATCCGATCATTGGATCGTCACCAAACCTTAATATGTTCTAGTATGTAATATTGAGGACCATAGGAACTTTTGGATCGGGAATCCAATGTACGGATCTTCCCTAATTGGATTTGTAAGTTCGTAATATAGAACGTTGACCGCTACTTAATTTGTCATTGGTAGAGATCCGACCGTCGGATCGTGGTAATATGTTAATGTTGTTCTAGGAGCTTATTGAAACTCTTAGGAAGTTATGGATAAAAAATTCGAGGTGCGGATATTCCGGATCGAGTTACGTAAGGTTGTGGACCTTACCGTCAACCTTTGACCGACGGTTGACTTTTGGTCAATAGGTTACAAATAATTCTAGAACGTCCTTGGGGATATGTTTTATGTAAGTTATGTATTCTATCGATAAGAATTATGAGACGTGATTTGATATTTGTTCTAGGCGACAATCATTCGTGACGCCTCGATATTCATGCTAGGAATTGCAGTAAGGGTGGGTACAGGCCGGGCCCAAAATTGAAGGAATCGGATCGGACCTGTTTGTAAATAAAACAAGATGGGGTAGGTTTTGGATTTTTCAAAATAGGATCCGGATCTAACTCGGCCAGTTGAAATGGGCTGGTTCCTACGGGTCCAAATCTTCACTCACACCTAAGTCTGGTCTTCGTCATCTTGTTCGTTCCCCTCCTCAGCGTCTTCTCCGACGCCTTGAGCAAATCCTCCAGTAACTCATCTGTTCATCAGACGGTGCTCTCATGCATTTGTTTTTAGATCTAGCTAGTGACTTTCTTCGAATAATGGGTTAATAAGTCCGACTTCTCAGCCAAATAGTGTTCCAGCATACCGTCTTCGTCATCTACCATTAACCATAAGACAAGATGGTTTCTTCATCAGATTGTGAACACAAAGCATTTCCTTCATAACAAAATTAAGTGATTCGATTGATTTTGGTCTCATCAACATAAGACTACATGGGCTAAAGGAAAGAAAATCACTTTCAAAATCATCAGAATCGAAGTTAATCTCGTCCTCATCCTCTTCATCAAACCCTTCAATGGCTGGAGCTAAACCTTTCTATGGAGGGAGAAAAAGCAAGCAAAATGGAAAAGTGACGAGGAAAGTGCAAGGAAAAAGAAGGGAATAGAAAGCCAATAAAGAAAGAAAATGAGCTCATTTTGAGGTTTGTAGAGATAGAGAAATGAGACAAAGAAGGGAGATAGAGAAAAGTAGCTCATTTTGAGGTGGGTGTGTCAAATATTTTGATAATTTTATGAGAATTGGGAGAAACGGGTCCAACCGGGGCCCCGTTTCCTAAGGCTTTTGCACCCGCCCTGTACCGATAACTTTGTGAACCTGCCCCGGCCCGCCCCTTTTTTTCTTTACAAATTTTAGATTCGTCTTGAACTACATGGAACCGGCCGGCCCCGTGGGTCTAGGGCCCGTTTGCCCACCCCTAAGTTGTAGTACGGACTCCAAGTGAGTGGGTATGTTCCTTTTTATAGTATATGATTGATAGTTTCCATTTATGCATTTGAAAAAGAATTTCTTACTTACGCCTAGATTATACTAAAATTTATAAGCATTAGCGAAATGACGGAATTTATGAAATTATTCCGGATCCTGTGGGATGCCTTAATCCAAATTACAACTTTGATGAATGTTATATTGACTAGAAATTATGGAATAGGCTAATCCTACGGGATGCACAAGGAAGCTTACTATAAAGAGATGCCTTGATTATATTTATGGTCATGAATAGTACGACATTGATTAGAATTGTTGAATGGTTGTGGCATGACTATATTGATGTTATCTGCTCATTGTTTGCTGCACCCGATATTAGTGCTTGCCCAAGGCCAGGGCTAGTCTTTCACATGTATGTTTACATCCGCACTGCACGCTCACCTTGGATCTAAGTAGGTGTCAGTCCTGTCGTACAGGTTGCAATAGGCAACTTCGACTCGTATGTGACCGCGAATAGCACCAGTCTTCATGTGATTGTAGCACTAGAGCGTATATTATGATTACACCCATACATGTTCAAGTTAGAACACCTCTGCATTAACTCTTGTGTCAGCATGTGTCGATGAGCACCCGATATGATATGTTGCTTATGTGAGATTTTGTGATTTTGGATGTCATGCCCTTATTTACGAGATATTGTGCCGTAATGAATTTTTAAGATTGTGCAAGCTACGGTAAGTATTTTTATACTATGCATAGTAAGTATATTTTGGAAATTATACTGGTTTTACGACGAGAGATTACTTTATTTTTAGGCTCACTTACCCTTGTTTTTTATCGCCCCTCCAGGTTTTAGTAGCTGAGCTTTTTTATCGACAATGATATAATCCTTACCCTATCTTACTGTACTGTACTTATGCTCTGACGTCAATTGTGAAATGGGTTCATTCTCGCTCATAGCGCACTCTTATATTTAGGCACTTTTAGGTTTAAAATTATTCACATTTTCCACATCACTACATTTTATGGTTTCATCACCTTCCAAGTGTCGGCCAGCACATCTCAATTTGAAGTTCTAACGGACATACCGGATTGGGGTGTGTCATTAGATTAATCTAAAATAAATATAGAAAAATCAAATTTGAGTGCATAAAAAAATTAAATATTTCATACTTGCCTAGTCTTATTTATTTTGGATAAGTAATTATTGCATAAAAAAAAAGTTTTTATTTTTTTATTTTTTTTTCTAATGTCAATACAAATACAAAGACAGTTGACGATGAGATGAGACTTTTCTTGGTATGTAAAATTTTGTTTGGGTTAACTATTTGATATTAATAATAATTAAAAAAAAACTAATGAAAATGGTTTGAAAACTTTGAGTTTTAATCAAAATGAAAAAAAAAAGTGTTGTAAGTGAATAGTATCATGAGTGACTTTTTAGAATAAAAATATCACTTTCGTAAAAAAGTGAACAGTACCAAAAATATTTCGTTAAAACTCTACATGAAAACTGAAAAGAGAGGAGCGTGGGAAACAATCCCCCAAGTACACGTGACGGTGAATGTATTAGGGAGGTGATTGTGATGTGATCACATGTGTGTTTCAATCATCTTCTCCAATCCCATCACACAGAGCAAAGCACACAACACAAGAGTCTCTCTGCAGTCTGAAGTCTGCAGTCAGGGCTCTGAAGTCAATGCCTCTCTCTATCTCTCTCTCTCTCTCTCTCTAAAATCATCTCCCATTAATATTCACACACACTCACTCTCACTCTTCTCCTTGATATGATGATAAGTTTCCCATTGGTGGCGCACACATGCTCACGCTCCTCAAATTCCCAACCCAACCAATCACCTCCCTCCTCCATCCCAACCTCACTCCAAACACCTAAAAAGAAAAATCAACCAAAAAAAAAAAGAAAAATCAACCAAAAAAAAAAAGAAAAATCAACCACCTAGAGAGGAAAAAGGGGCATCTTTAGTCCAACTACTCAGAAAAGAAATAAAGAAAGACGTAAGTTAAAGTCAATTGACCAGTATTTAATTTTTATTTTATATTTTAGTTCAAATTTTTTAATAAAATAAATTTTATGCAATAATAATTTATTGTAAAAATAGTGAAAGAGGTGAAAGTCCCACCATGATTCAACCATAATTGAATATTAACATTCTTGTTGAATTTGAAATTTTACACTTATAAGTAAATAAGAACAGTAATATAGTATTAAAACCTCTCAAAAGAGATTTTTGAGAGAGTTTAATTTATTTATAAATCCATGAATTTTATGGAGTTTAATTTATTTTTAGAAAATCTATTTAAAATTTTGAGTGAATTCTTTCAAATTCTCTAGAGAATGAGTGAGATTTGAGAATGCTTAAAATACACTACAAAATATCTCACATTCCCTCGAATTCCCCAATTTTTAAAAATTCTTTAAAATCAAATTTTAGGAGATGTATTCAATTGGAATTTTGAGGGATTTTAATTCTTTTATTGAATCTAGGGGCATTCAATTAGAATTGTAACTGATTCTTTGAAATTCAAGGTGTATTCAATCAAAATTTTAAGTTAGTTTATTAAAATCCTTGTAAATTTGGAGGTATTCAATTATGATTTTAAATAATTTTATAACATTCTAGGTGTATTTAATTGGAAATTGATTTTAAAGAATTTGTAAAATTTGACTAATTAGAGAGAATTGGAGAGATTTCATATTGAATTTTAAACATCCACAAATCTCACATCTTCCCATGAGATTTTAAGGGAATTGATTCAAAATTTTATATGGAATCTATACAAATCAATTAAACTCCATAAAAATTCATAGCTTTATAAATTCATTAAAGTATCTCAAATTCTCAATTGAATACACCTGCATACATCTGAGATGTTATAAAATCCTAATTGAATACGTCATGACTTTCAAAAAATCATTTAAAATTTTGATTAAATACTCATGAATTTGAACAAAGAAATAAAAAATCTCAAAACATTTCCATCAAACAATAAAAGAAGAAAAAGAGAGAGAAGAAAAAGAGAGAAAATGACAATACTCAACCATAAGAAAACAAAACATAGCAAATAAGCAACAACCCTTTATGTCTTTCCATTTTCTTTTCTTTTTCCCATTTCAAAGCCAAAACCAAAAAGCCTTGTTTTTCACTCTTCCGGGTCTTCTTCCAAGTTGCAACCAAACCCCATCTTAAAGCAAGCTCTCTCTATTTTTCTTGAGTCGCAGAGCGGTTTTTGGTGGCCGTGGCGGTGACAAAACACCCACCAATTCCAAATGGAATACACCACAAGCTCAAGGCCTCAAGAAATCAGAGAGAAGCCGTATTCGTATTCCCCCATAAACTCACCGAGGAGCAACAACAATGGCACGACCACCAACGCCAACAGCAGCGTCTGCAGCAGCAGCAGCCCGGCGGTGGGGACTCAAATCCCGACAACCCCGAAAGTCTCAACTCCCAGATCTGACTCCAATCCCTACCCGACAACCTTTGTCCAAGCTGACTCCTCGAACTTCAAACATGTTGTCCAAATGCTCACCGGCTCCTCGGAAACTGTCACTCACCAGTCCTCCCCCAAACCCACAGCCGCCGCCCACCACAACAGCCACCACCACCACCACCACCACCAAGATCCAACAATTTTGCCACCCTCCAATAAAAACTTCAACATCCCACCAATCAAAACCGCCCCACCGAAAAAGCAGGGCTTCAAGCTCTACGAGCGGCGGAGCACCAATCTCAAAAACACCCTCATGATCAACACCCTCATCCCCAACTTCCAATCGGCTTCTGGGTTTTCTCCACGTCATCAGGAGATTCTCTCACCGAGCCTACTCGAATTCCCGTCACTCACCCTCAGCCCGGTGACGCCGTTGAACGACCAGTTCGACAAGTCGGCGTCGTCGCCGTCACTGGGAAATTCTTCGTCGGAGGAGGACAGGGCGATTGCGGAGAAAGGATTTTACTTGCACCCGTCGCCGAGGGCTACGACGACTCCGAGAGACCCGGAGCCGCGGCTTCTGCCTCTGTTTCCGGTCACTTCGCCGAGAGTTTCTGGGTCGTCTTCTTGATCAAATGACGAGTAGAGAGAGAGAGAGATGTGTAGTAAGTAATATTTACTGTGAGTGGGTTTTGATTAAAATGATCATCAGGAGAAGTGAAGATTAATGGGTTTTGGATGATTTTTCAATGACAGGTACAGATCTTTGTTTTAATTGTACAATTTCATATCTCTTCCATAAAAATGCTAAAAAGCTTAGCTTTCAACTTCCTCCTCCAACTTCTTTTCTTCTTCTTTATTTTTTGTTTTGCAACTTTTATGGCTTTTTTTTTTTTTAATTTCTATTGAACCAAATTAAGGAAGATTGAAAATAAAATTTCTATTGAAATCTGAGTGAGCCTATATGAATGGGAATATGAATTTTAATTTTACCACTTCATTAGTTTAGCATTTCATTCAATTGCAAAATGCATTTTCTTTGTTCTTCTCAGCATGTGTGTGTGGTAGGAGAGGACTTTTCAAAAGATGAGGGTGTGGCTGTTGGACTGGACAATCAACAATAAGAAGTTTCAGTTTTTTTTTTTATCTTTTATAATTACAGCTCATTTAAACTACAAGAAATATATTCGAATTTAAGTACAGAAAGTGTAGCACACTACTCTTACTAACTCGGTTAAAACTTAAGTCTGCAATAAAAGAAATTATTGTTAAATTTTATTTATTTTTGTTTTTCGTCCCATGTTAAGTTTTACTCATAAATTAACCAGAGTCAAGGATATGTAATTTGGAATTTATAATTTAATTAGTACAATTTTAGAGTAGATTCAACTTGTTGAAGGGTTCTTCTAGGGTCCCCCCCCCCTCCCCCCTTCCATTGACGAGTGAGGAGGACCACATTTCCCGTTTAATCTAAGGCCATACATATGTGAAACTTCCACCTAATCATATGGTCATGTTGTTCGTGACTTGTGAGCTGTTGAAACTGTTGAGCTAGCTAATGCATTATTAGTAGTGATTTCGAACATTCTCCACTTCTCTCTCTCTCTCTCTCTCTCTCTCTTTTTATTTTTATTTTACGTATTCGATTTAAAAACCAAAAATAAAAGAAAAGAGTGCATGAAGAGAAAATAAGATGCGAAAATGACTTTTCTAGTATATTTACGGTACTCATATGTTTTGCAACTCACAAAACAATTCAATGTAGTATGATGTTCTAATAGAATGGACAATCATCTGGAATTCAAGCTAGGTCATGTAGTTCTTTCTTCTTTTCTTTTTCTTTTTTTTTTTTTTATGTTTTTGTGAATCATTTTTCTTAATTTTCTTTATTTGTGAAAAATCACTAAAATAAACCAAACAACGGTCAATAAAATGTATGTATCAACAATTATCTGGAATTCAAGCTACATAATATCGTTTTTCTTTTCCTTAAGGAGAGACTTTTGGGGAAAGGGAAAACATGATTTAAACCCAAAATATTTACTCTTATTTTTGTTGAAGAAATAGTACAAAGTTGTCAGAAGCCATTTATATTCGGTGTATTATACTACGTTTAGTTGTCTACGCATGCATGCGACTACTAAGCCTTGACATTTCTTATAATCACAATGCATCAATTACTCAAAGTCACTGTGAGGATTGAGCGCACAAGTCCTTTTTGTATTAATGCAGGCTTAGTATGCTTCGTGCTGCACAAATCCTCGAATTACATGAGTTTTTTTGTTTGAGTAAATTGTAGTTAGGGTCCCTTAATTTTAACTTAATTTGAGCATTAGTCCTTTAACTAAAAATACATTATTATTGGTCTCTCAACTCATCAAAACTTGCATCTATGGTTCCTTAACTAAAAATTCATTAACATTGATTCCTCAACTTTAATTCAACTGAAGAAATGGTCCCTTAACTTTAACCCAATTGTAGCAATGATTATTCCAGCATAACTCGTTTTGACAAAAAATTTGACGTAGTTGACTAAAATGACCATAATTACACACTTTAATGAGTTGATGGATCATAATTATATAAATGGTTATTCCAACATAACTTATTTTGACAAAATTTTGATGAAATGGATGAAAATAACTATAGCTACACATTTTGAAAAGTTGAGGGACCAATGTTAATGGATTTTTAGTTGAGATACCATTGCTCAAATTTGATTAAAGTTGATGGACCATTGCTATAATTTACTCTATTTGTTTTGCTTTGTACAAATAGCTCAAAATATAGGCAACACTCAATTGCACTCATTTGTCTGAAATAACCGATGAAGGGTTTCTTTCATGGTAGTACTCACATACGAAGGACATAGCTTTCGTTAGAAAAAGATAAAAAAATAAACTTACGAGGATATATTGGTCTGTCACAACCACTGATATTTCATTATGTAATAAGCGTGATGAGTAATTGTGAGAGTAAACTGCTATATGAGCATATATCTCAATAGATAGCTGATTTTTACACAACATATTTAGATTTTAACACTTTTTTTTTATTTTTATCCTTCAGACTGAATAAATCAAACGTAAACAACGAACATGATTAAATATGGGTGTATAGAAGAAGAAACGGCGTGTATTTGTCATTTCTGCTCCCAATAACCTCATCGTGGAGAAGTTTCCCTCCAACTTTCATTTCAATTTACATGAAAGGAAAAGTATTGGGATTTTTATCGTTAGGGCTTTTTCCGTTTATGTACAAGTTTACCATATGCTGAAATAATATGCAGTATATACAAATAAGGAAATAAGCTTAGGGTAGGACAATCAGACATTCTTTCTCTGTATGTTTATCTTTCCCAAATATATGAGTTTGTAATGTTTGTGATGTCGACTCATTTGACTTGAAAGAATAACAACTTTCTTAACGTGTGGACGCAAGAAAGAAAAACAAGAAACCAGAAAGTGGGGCTTTCTGTTACTCTTATGACACTTGAGAACGAAAGGAGGAAGAAAGCAAAAAATTAAAGTACAATTTGAATTAGCAAGTTAAAGCTGCAGAGAAAATGTCAAGACTTTTTCTTTTTTTTGCTTTTCTGACACTCAATTTCTGTCATTGTGTGTGCGGCGTGCCCAATAAGTCGGTGCATTGAACTGAAAAACCGCCAAAGTTCTTTCTTTTTTGTTTATTTTTTGCAATTTGATGATGCATGAAGATTTTATCTTTTATCTACCTGTTTTAGATTGGCAAGCATTCTTGCTTTTGTTGGATTGTTGAACCAGTTTTGGATTTTAATGGAAATTGGATAATCTTGATATTTATCAAAGAAAAACTTAGGTGGCTAATACAAATTTGGGAAACATGCCAGCCTCAAGAAAAAAACAAAAGGCTCAGTTACATATTGCAGCATCTAATTGTTTGGTCTGATATGTTTTAAAAGGATAATGTTAGGCAAATCAAAATTTTGCACTATTATGGCACCAATCAAATTTGTACTTTAATTCAAATTCTAATTGATTGTAATGGATATTTATTAGTGTAGAATGTGCCACATCATTTGGTGCATAAACTTAATGTATGTAGCACCACCCGTTTTAAAATTGAACAAAAAAATCCTAACATTATAAATTGTTACATCTTTGACCCCTTCGTCCGTTTGACTATATCAGGTTAAGTACTAGTTTTTTGAGGTGACTTTTTTTTAGAGGTTTTTTGGCGTGGCATTTGGTTGTCATTTCTACTTATATGGACAACAGATTGATGCAACATAAGCGTTTCTTCTTTATAAAACTTCTTATTTGTGACTTATGATTTTTAACCTTGCGTTCGTGTCATGAGAAAACTTGGTCCAAAAACAACGATGAACCTATCTTTAGGTGACCTAAGAGGGTGAAGACACCCCAGACCAAACTAAACTACGTCATTAATATGAATAGAGCGGTCTTTAAGAGCTCCTACAAGATTATCCGTTAAATATTGCCGAAGCCATTGGGGAGGAACCTCAAAAACCTAAAGACCAAAGTTCAAATTGTAACTCCAATTGGCTAGTTGATCTGCAAAACCATTCAATTCCCTGAAAATATGTTTTAGCTCACATTGCACAAGTTGTCTCATCATATCCCTGCAACTCTTCAAAAGCGTAGTGAGAGGATGAAAGTATCTTGCATAGATTGGTTCATCAGTAACACAGCAGGAGCAAAGTCCATTTCGATGATTAATTTAGATATACCTTTTTCAATAGCAAGCTAGAGCCTGAAGTACAAACCCCAAACTTCAGCTTCGATAATCTGTCATTCCTCTAAATTAATAGAGAAACCTCACATCCAATCACCACTGTGGTCACGGAAGAATTCCTTCAACACCAATCTTGCTCAAATAACAGGAGGCTCTCCCTTCAGCATAACATGAATCCTATGACGTGGTTTTTCAATTTTTAGAAGAGATTCCATCCATCATAGGCAGTTCCAACAATAACCATTTTTAGATCAGTATGGAGGGAAACAAACAATTCCAGGTATACCAACATGCAAAAACAAACAAACAATTCCATGCTATCTTAGCATACCACATTGCCTTAGACGTCACATTAGTTATCATCCAAGCTTTCAAATCCAAGTTAAAAGTATTGTGCATTTGAGATGGATCACGCAAAATTTCCCAAATGCATTGAGCTCTACTACATTCCTTTAGAATATACAGAATGTCTCCAATGGCCAAGAACAAAGTTTGTAAGAGGAATGGGTAGTTAGATTTCTTTTAGTTCTTTGCTCATTAGTAAGCAGCTTGCCTTGACTAATGAGCCAAAGGAAAAACTTAAGTTTGGAAGGGATTTTGACAGTCCAACTCCCAAACCAATAAAAAAACAAGCCTTCTTTCACAACCATCATGAAAGAAAGTAGAGACTGAGAAATCCTCCTTAGGAAAGTTATTGGAATCAATATAATTAATCAAAGGAGCACGCAACACCCAACGGTCTTTCCAAAACTTGGCACCATCACATCACATGTGCTAATTCTCCCTTTCAAACATTTGCGCAACAAATCAGTTCCATACAGAATTCCTTTTCAAGTGTAAGAGTAGTCAGACTTCTCATGTAGTTTAGTATCCAAATAGAGCTCCCTTGTATTTCGTCTCATAGATTTTTACCTAAAGGCACGTATCCTTAGCATGAATTCTTCATCCAATTTTAGCCAACAAAGCTTGATTCAGCTCTACCGTTTTCTTCAATCCCACACCTTCAATACACTTAGGTCTGCAAACAACGCTCCAAACGTAAATGAATTATGTTTTTCTGCTCAGAGTCCCCTCAAAAGAAGTTTTTGTTCAACTTG